GGACGGGGGTGTTCACCAGTTCACCCCTGCCTACGAGCGCGTGACACACTGCACGTGTGCTCGGACGGGTTGTCACCTGGCTACCTTCACTCGGCAGCCGGGGTCGGACCTGTACACACTGACCACTGAGTCCCCTCAGGTAGCTGCGTCTGCGTCTGCGTCAGGTCAGCTGTCGGCCCCCTGCTCGTGTCGCTCTCTGGCGCACGAGACTGTCCTCTGGCACCACCGACTTGGTCACCCGTCCGTGCAGCGCCTTCGTGCCATGCACAAACGGTACCTTGTCTCTAGTCTTCCCAGGGTTCTCCCTCCCCTCCCACCCTCGCCTGCTCCTCCCTGTCTTCCCTGTGTCGAGGGGCGGCAGCGCGCCGCTCCTCACTCCTCCTCGTTTCCCCCGACGACTGCTCCCTTGCAGACGCTCCACATGGACGTGTGGGGCCCAGCCCGCGTCCGTGGTCAGGGTCAGGAGAGGTACTTCCTGATAGTTGTTGACGACTACTCGCGCTACACCACGGTCTTCCCCTTGCGCACCAAGGGTGAGGTCCCTGATGTTTTGATCCCTTGGATCAGCGCTTCTCGTCTCCAGCTCAGCGAGTGTTTCCACTCGGACTTTCCTGTCCTGCGCTTGCACTCTGACAGAGGTGGTGAGTTCTCCTCCGACCTCTTGGCAGCCTACTGTGCGGAGCACGGCATCCGCCAGTCGTTCACGCTTCCGGCCTCTCCACAGCAGAATGGGGTTGCTGAGCGCCGCATTGGCTTGGTCATGGAGGTCGCTCGTACCTCCTTGATCCATGCGGCTGCCCCCCACTTTTTGTGGCCGTTTGCAGTCCGATACGCTGCGCATCAGCTCAACCTCTGGCCCCGTGTCTCCGTTCCGGAGACTTCGCCGACACTGCGTTGGACAGGAGAGGTTGGCGATGCGTCACGCTTTCGGGTCTGGGGATCTCGAGCCTTTGTTCGCGATACGTCCGCGGACAAGCTCTCCTCCCGCGCTGTTCCTTGTGTCTTCCTTGGCTTTGTCCCGGACGCGTCTGGTTGGCAGTTTTACCACCCCACCTCGTGCCGTGTCCTGCCTTCTCAGGACGTCACTTTCGACGAGTCCGTCCCCTACTACCGCCTCTTCCCCTACCGCACTGGCCCGCTTCCCCCCCCCGCCTCTCTTCCTCGCGCCAGGTGCTGCTGTGGTAGACCCCCTCCCCCCTCAGGGTGCCGCTCCCTCAGGTGTGTCCCAGGTAGACCCGGTTGAGCCTGTCGAGGTAGCTGTCGACTCTCGTCCTGCTAGGGGTGCTGAGCCTGAGGGTGCTGAGCCTGAGCGTGCGGAGCCTGGGGGTGCGGAGCCTGGGGGTGCGGAGCCTGGGGTTGCGGAGTCTGGGGGTGCGGAGCCTGGGGTTGCGGAGTCTGGGGGTGCTGAGCCTGGGGGTGCGGAGCCTGGGGGTGCTGAGCCTGTGGGTGCTGAGTCTGGGGGTGCTGAGTCTGGAGGTGCTGAGCCTGGGAGTGCTACACCTGGAGGAGCTCTCTCCTCACAGCAGCTGCGTGAGTGGTACTTACAGTACTGCAGCCTCAGGAGAGGTGCTTCTGGAGCCAGGAGTACTGCTGGAGCTGGTGCTAGTGCTTCCCCTCCTAGGCGGGAGCTGCCCTCTCCCCAGCGGCTCCGAGAGTGGTACGCACGGCGCTGCAGTCTTCGGAGTGGCGCTCCTAGTGTCGCGGACCCAGCTGCTGGAGGTTCTGCTGCTGGCGGTGCTTCTGGCGCTGCTGGAGGTACTGCTGGTGCTGGAGCTGCTGGTGCTGCTGACGCTACTGGAGGTGCTGCTGGTGCTGGTGGTGCTGCTGGTGCTGCTGGAGCTGCTGGAGGTGCTGCTGGTGCTGGGGCTGCTGGAGCTGCTGGAGGTGCTGCTTCTTCTGGAGGTGCGGCTGGTGCTGCGGACCCGGGCGTTGGAGTTGCTGCTGGTGCTGCGGACCCTGGAGTCGGAGCTGCTGCTGGTGCTGCGGACCCTGGAGTTGGAGCTGCTGCTGGTGCTGAGGACCCTGGAGGTGGAGCTGCTGCTGGTGCTGAGGACCCTGGCGCTGGTGTCTCTGCTGGTTCTGGAGACGCTGCGCGGCCGCGGCCGTACTTCGTTCCGCTCCTTCAGCAGGTTCTTGGTCAGCCTCCTCCTCCTTGTCCTCCTCCCTCCTTAGAGTGTCCTCCGTCTGTCCAGTCGCAGTCACAGTTACCGTCTGACTCCCCTCTCCCTGGTCCTTCTCCTTACACTGGTCCGACTGGAGGTCTTACGGAGCGTCGTGAGCCTGAGTCTCGTCCTGCGTCGCCTGAGTCTCGTCGAGCGTCGCCTGTTCGTGCTGCTCACGCTGGTCGTCGTGTCCCGCGTCAGCGTCCTCCTGCTGTCCCAGGCACTCACCAGATGGCGCTTCGTCCTTCCACTGCTCCCCAGCATGTCCCTCTCCCGTCTCCTCCTGCGTCCTCTCTTCCTGCTCTTGCTGACCCTGAGTCTGACTCCCTTCGTGCTGCCAGTCCTACTGTCACGCGTCTCCTGGCTACTGTTGTCACTGACCCTTCCTTTGAGTCCACTGCTGCGTCTGCCTTAGTTGCCGAGCTTGTCGACTTTGCTGCCACTTGTCGTCTAGACTACGCCGCTAGCCTAGTTGCTGAGTCTGAGTCTGTCTGTCCTCCGTCCGTCGGGGGTGAGTGTGCTCTTAGCACGGACGTCCTTGAGGACAGGCAGGAGGAGTTTGAGTGCTTTGCCGCTGCTTTACCTCATCTCGTGTCCATGCTAGTTGCCCCTGAGGGAGACCCGGATGCACCAGACATCCCGACTCCGCGCTCTTACGCAGAGGCGATAGAGGGTCCCTACTCCTCTCAGTGGCAGACAGCCATGGACGCAGAGATGGCTTCCTGGAAGTCCACAGGCACCTACGTCGACGAGGTTCCCCCACCTGGGGCGAACATCGTCAGTGGCATGTGGATTTTCAGGGTGAAGCGGCCGCCGGGTTCTCCGCCTGTCTTCAAGGCGCGTTACGTTGCACGAGGCTTCAGTCAGCGAGAGGGAGTTGACTTCTTCCAGACCTTCTCCCCGACCCCGAAGATGACCACTCTTCGGTTCTGCTGCACGTCGCCGCTCAGCGTGACTACGAGCTCCACTCTCTTGACTTCAACACTGCTTTCCTACAGGGCAGCCTGCACGAGGAGATCTGGCTGCGCCGCCCACCTGGCTTCACTGGGTCGTTCCCTCCTGGTACCTAGTGGAGCCTCCGGCGGCCAGTCTACGGTCTCCGACAGGCGCCACGTGAGTGGCACGACACACTGAGGACTACACTTGCGGCTCTTGGGTTCGCTCCTTCTACTGCTGACCCGTCGCTGTTTCTACGCACCGACACCTCGCTGCCGCCGTTCTACATCCTCGTGTACGTCGACGACTTGATCTTTGCCACTGCTGACACTGCGGCACTCGCCCACGTGAAGTCGGAGCTGCAGAAGAGACACACGTGCACAGACCTGGGTGAACTGACAAGCTATCTTGGCTTGCGGATCACCCGGGACAGAGCACGGCGCACCATCACCTCGACTCAGTCACACATGGTGCAGCAGGTCCTTCAGCGCTTCCGCTTCACGTACTCCTCGCCTCAGCCCACTCCTCTGCCTACCGGTCACTCGCTCTCAGCTCTGCCTTCGGATGAGTCCGTAGAGCCGAGTGGCCCGTATCCAGAGCTTGTGGGCTGCCTCATGTACCTGATGACCTGCACTCGACCTGACCTTGCATACCCTCTTAGCATCCTTGCACGCTATGTCGCTCCTGGCCGTCACCGGAAGGAGCACATGGATGCCGCTAAGAGGGTGTTGCGCTACTTGTGCAGTACGTCGGGCATGGGGCTAGTGCTTGGAGGACGAGACCGAGTTGTACTCACTGGGCACTCAGACGCGTCTTGGGCTGACGACCAGGCTACTCAGCGGTCGTCTCAGGGTTACACCTTCAGCCTTGGCTCTGGTTCAGTTTCTTGGCGTTCTACACGCTCGTCTTCTGTTCTCAGCTCCAGTTGTGAGGCTGAGATCTACGCCACAGCCATGGCTGCACAGGAGTTACGCTGGCTCACCTACCTGCTGACCGACTTGGGAGAGCGGCCTCGTTCTCCTCCAGTGCTGTACGTCGACAACAAGGCTGCCATTGCCTTGTGTGAGGAGCACAGACTGGAGCACAGAACGAAGCATATCGCTCTGCGCTACTTCCTTGCTCGAGAGCTGCAGCAGCGCGGTCAGCTTCGTCTGCGTTACGTGGCCACTCGGGCCAACACTGCTGATGTGTTCACCAAGGCGCTTCAGCCTTGTGACCATCAGCGCTTCTGTACTGTTCTAGGCCTCGTGCCTACTGGGCCTCACTTGCTTGTGCTCAGAATTTGTGTGGTTTCCTTGAGATCCACCCTGAGCTTGCTTTGCTTTGCTTTGACTGGTCTTGTGACCATCTGGTTGTCTCCCACTTAGCCTATGGGGGTGTGTCAAACATTATATGTTTATATTGTGTAGGCTATAGTGGGTTTAGCCTTAGGGGGTACAGCTTTGTTAGGGTTTCCTACTTGTATCCCCCTCCTACCTAGTTTCATTCATTCTCGTTCTATTCTAGATTCTAACAGATTCAATCCACTGCACGCGAATCGCCGCGAGTGAAGAGATCTGTCACAAATGCTTCGCGCATCGTGCAAATCTTGTTGTTGTGCATCAAGAATGCCTCCTACTAATCTTGACGTCATTTCTTCCTTTTCTCTTTTTTTTTTTCCCGCAAGATCCTTCCTTCCCAATCGCCACCTCCCACTTTCTCCCTCTCTCTTCTTACTAGAAACTCCTCATTTCATAAATACCTTCAAGTCTTCCGGTATGACAAGGAATTTCCCGCACGCGCTACTGCTAGAAGACAATTGCGATGGCCGAACGATCATTTTCCCTGCAAATTCCCAGCGACTCCGCCACGGTCGCACTGCTTGTGGCGCTGTTCTCGTAGCTGCTCACAACCACCCACGCCATGCCCGTGAGCGATTTGATAACAGCCCTGAAGTCGAAGGACGTTCAGTACACTCTCATGGAGCGTCTATTCGCGCTGGACGGCACGAAAGACATCTCGGGAGTGACGATACTCGTCCCGCGGTCCGACGAGATTCCCTCGGCGGGAACCTACGCCAGGCTTGACAACACGACGCGCAAGTACAACCAGGCGATCGCAGACGCGCTCAGGGTCATGGATGTAGCCGACAGCTCGCCAGAAGTGTGGGGATGGAGGCTCTTAGCATGGCAGGTACGCAGACATGTAGGGCGTACGTGCGCCCCCACCACACCCACTCACGCATGTGCATGCGCACACACGCACGCCTGGTACATTTGAGTGATCCAATCAAGCCGAACTTGCTTCTCGAACGTTGCCCCTGCAGGAGCCACTGCTCCTTCATTACAAGATCACGCTCCGTTGATCTCCCATTCTCCTGCAAGAGCCACTGCTTCCATCTTCCACCTGCTTGCCTCCATTGGCATGGCTCTCACCGCACTCCTGGTGCTGTAACCGCACTCCTGCTGTTGTACCTGCACTCCTGCTGCTGTAACCGCACTCCTGCTGCTGTAATCTCACTCCTGCTGATGTAATCACACTCCTGCTGCTGTAATCACACTCCTGCTGCTGTAATCACACTCCTGTTGCTGTAATCACACTCCTACTGCTGTAATCACACTCCACCTGCTCATCAGATATAGGGTCTGCGACGGACCAAAAGGGGGGTGGGAGAGGGGGAAAGGGGAGGAGGTGGGTGAGTGGGTGGAGGAGGAGGAGGAGGAGGAGGAGGAGGAGGAGGAGGAGGAGGAGGAGGAGGAGGAGGAGGAGGAGGAGGAGGAGGGGGAGTTTCCAGGGCCCATTACGGGTTGTCCCGGGCCCAGCTCTTGCTCATGCCTCGTATTTAACATGTCTGTGACTTCTTAGCATTGGGTTTCTTCGGAGATATGAGAGTTAATTCCCTAGGTGGTGGTGAAGGAAATATACATAGTAGCAAATGTTTTGCTTTATAAACAATAAATAACCAGTGTGTTGCCTCGCCCCAGTCCAACCCATCCCATTTCACATGTAGCCCTAATCCTCTCCAGTGTATTTATCATTCTTACGAAATTTTGAACAAGTGTGTGCATCTCGGTTCCATGAATGATTCGCACACGTGTCAACCCAATCCTATATCACACTTACACCTCTAAGTAACCTTTCGACACATTCACCGCGTACCCTCGACCTCTGTAACCCGCAGCCTAGCTGCATGCTAGTGCATAAAGTCGTAACATTGGATTAGAGGTAACATCGCACTATGCTTGTAGCGACAGTAAGTGGAGCCTGCGGGTTGTGCTTACACGTGTTTTGTACGTACATGTGAACATGCTTGCCAGTCTGCCATAACATATCCTCCCTCACTCATTTGCCCCAAACCTCTCAGGAGTAGGCTAGCGGAAAAGTGGGTTGACTAGTAGGAAACAAGGTACAAATAGGAAAGTCGAGAAAGTTGTGTATCCTCTCTAGTGTGTGCCTCACTGCAGACTAACATGCATATTTGCTATTTGACACACCCCCATAGGCTAAGTGAGGGACGGCAAGAGAGAGTAAGGAACACGGATGGTCACAAGACCAATCAAGAGCAAGCAGCAAAACAAGGCTCAGGGTGGCGCTCAAAGTTACCACACATTCCGAGCACAAACAAGAGGCCACAAGGCTAGTTCAAGAGTTCACTAGGATATATAGAAAAGCAAGACAAACAGAGCAAACAACAAGAGTACAGCAACCGAGGGCCTACCTCAACAAGCCCTAACTGCACACAAAACCTATGGTGGTCACCAGGCGCCAAGGCCTTGGTGAAGACGTCAGAAGTGTTGGCCTCTGAGGCCACAAAGTCGAAGCCTGCCTGGCCACGTCGCTGCAACTCTCGCATGAGAAAGTACCTCATGTTAATATGCTTCACTCTGCTCTCCAGTCGAAGCTCTCGACACAAGAGGATCATGGCCTTGTTGTCAGCGTACAAGGTCGGTGCCGAGCGAGGCCGCTCACCAAGGTCGGCGAGCACGAAGGTCAACCAGCGAAGCTCCTGTGCCGCCATGGCACCAGTTTAGATCTCTGCCTTTGCAGTGGACGAAACCACAGACGACGACCTTGTGGACCTCCACGACACAGCACCAGCAGCCAGACTTAAGCAGTAACCCTGAGTCGAACGCTGAGTCTCCACGTTGTCAGCGTCGCAGTGACCGGTCAACTCAACTGGATGTGTCCCTCCAAGCACAAGCCCCATGCCTGATGTAGTCGCCAGGTACTTTGCCAACCTCACAGCAGCTGTCCAGTGAATAGGACAGTGTCTCCCAGTCGCAACGAAGCGAGAGAGGACGATGAGGGGAAAGGCGAGGTTCGGCCGAGTACAAGTCATCAGGTACATGAGGCAACCCACAAGCTCTGCATAGGGACCACTAGACTCAAGGGGCTTGTCGGGAAAAGGGTCTGTGAGCCAGTAGGTTGTGTGGTGGAGAACTGAATCCCGAACTACCGAAGAACCTGTGGCACCATGTGTGACTGAGTCAGTGTGATGGTGCGAGTGGCTCTGTCCCTGGTGATCTGCAGGCCAAGGTAGCGCTGCAGTTCACCGAGGTCAGTGGACGTGTGTCTCTTCTACAGTTCGATCTTCACCTCAGCCAGAGCTGCCCTGTTTGCTGTAGAAAAGACCAAGTCATCAACGTAAACAAGTATAAAGAAAGGAGTGGAACCAGCACGAACAAACAGCGACGGGTTGGCAGAGGAAGGGCGAAACCCAAGGTCACGAAGCGTGGAGCGAAGAGTGTCGTGCCACTCACGGGGCGACTGGCGGAGACCGTAGACTGGTCGCCTCAGGCTCCATTGGGTCCCATGTGGGAAGGTGTCAGTGAAGCCAGGAGGACGCCGCAACCAGATCTCCTCGTGTAGGTGGCCCTAGAGAAACGCAGTGGAGAAGTCGAGGGAGTGCAGCTCGTAGTCTCGCTGTGCTGCTACGTGCAGTAACACCCGAAGAGTAGCCATCTTCGGGGTCGGGGCGAAGATCTGGAAGAAGTCAACTCCCTCACGCTGACTGAAACCCCTAGCCACGTAGCGCGCCTTGAATACAGGCGGTGAACCAAGCGGCCGCTTCACCTTGAAGAGCCATATGCCATTGACAACATTTGCCCTGGGAGGGGGAACTGCGTCGACGTAGGTGACTGTGAAGACGCTAACTCTGAGTCCATAGCCGCTTTCTACTGAGAGGCCCACTCCCCTGACACTGCCTCACGGTACGTGCAAGGAGACGGTATGTCAAAGGCGTCGGGGTCTCCCTCAGGGGAAAGCAGCATGGCCCAGAGAGAGGGGGAAGCGGCTGCCAAGAAATCCAGCTCAAACTGCCTGTCCTCTTGGACGTCACATCCAAGGGCAGACTCACCCCCGACGGACAGAAGACAGGGAGGTGGAGCAGCCACCATACGCGTGGTGTAGTCAAGACGGTGGGTGGAAGCAAAGTCAGTGACATCGGCAGTAAGAGCCGAGACAGACGACGGAGAGGCACGAGGGTCCATGACAAGAGAGGCGAGAACACGTGTGACAACAGGGCAAGCAGCACGGCAGTAGTCAGTGATAGGGTGAGACGAGACAGTGAGAGACGACTCAGGAGGTGAGGGGAGAACAGACACAGGCGGAGCACGATGAGGACTAGAATAAAATAAGACTGTACGGAGGTCGTCAAAAGGAGACGAGGGACGAGCACGCGGGGGACAATGACTAGTCCAGTCGTGCGGGACAACAGGAGGAGACGACTGTGACAGAGGAGGAGAGAAAACAGTCGGAGCCGAGTCCGGAGGAGGAAACGTAGGACCGTACACGGTAGGGACTGTGAGTGGATAGGAGGAGAGGAAGGAAAACCAAGGGCCCGAAGGTCACTCACTGGAAGAAACAGGTGCTGGAAAAGTGGCGGCTGCAGCGGCTACTGCTGCTGCTGCTGCGGGGCCAACTGTTGCAGCTCCTGCCTCTCCTGCTCCAACCGCTCCTGCTCCTCGCGCTCAAGCCGGCGAAGAGCCTGGAGACGTGTGTCGTAGCAGTGGGGAAGCGCAGTGGGTGCCGCAGTAGTCGTGCCTCTAGCTCCTGTCTCCTGAGTACTAGCTCCTACAGAGACCTCCTTCTCCAGCACCCCCAGAACTAGCACCACCACCGCCAGTACCTCCAGCTCCAGTACCCCCAGAAATAGCACCTCCAGTGCCAGTACCTCCAACTCCAGCACCCACAGAACTAGCGCCACCAGCGCCAGCACCTCCAGCTCCAACACCCCCAGAACTAGCACCGCCAATGCCAGCACTGCCAGCTCCAACACCTCTCGAACGAGCGCCCCCAGACCAAGTACCGCCAGTGGCAGTACTTCCAACTCCAACACCAACCGAGTCCACAGTACCTGTCGTGGAAGTGCTGAAGGCTGCTGAGGGGACTGAGAGGAGGACTGCGGGGAGGGAGACGCTACCTGACGTGCGACCGAGGGTAGAGGGGTAGCGTGAGACACACCTGACGGGGCAGGACCAGGGGGGGGCGGAGATATCGGAGGAGCGGGAGCAGGGGGAGGAGAGGGTGCGAGGAAGAGGGGGTGAGGGGGAACCGGAAGACCTCGACAAGGGTACCGGGTGTAGTAGAACACTGACTTGTCAAAACGGACGCCACGAGAGTCGAGGAACTGGTGGAGGGGTGGGTGGTAGAAGGAGTTGTCAGGAGAGCCCACCGGGAAACCAAGGAAGACACAGGGGATGGCGCAAACCAAGAGCTTGTCTGCAGAGGTGTCGCAGACAAGTGCAAGGCAGCCCAGACACGAAAGGCCGACCCAACACCAGGGGACCTGGTCCAAAGACGGGTCAGTGAAGCCTCTGGCCGCGAGACACGCGGCTGGAGGTTCATCTGGTGCGCGGCATAGTGAACCGCATAGGGACACATGCATGGATCATGGACGTGTGGGCGATGTCCATGACCAAGCCAATGCGGCGCTCAACAACCCCATTCTGCTGTGGGGACTCCGGCAGCGTCCAGGACTGTATGATGCCCTGTTCGCCGCCGAACCTGGCAAGGACGCCGGAGCGAAACTCACCCCCAAGGTCAGAGTGGAGACAACGGACACGACTACCACGAGTGCCCTCAGTGGCCAGCAGCCACCGTATCAGCGTAGAAGTCACCTCAGACTTCTTCGCGAGAGGAAACACCGTGGTGTACCTGGAGTAGTCGTCGACGACCACTAGAAAGTAGCGCTCCCTCTCAGGTCCTAGCGTAGGGGCAACACCCTAGACGCCCAAGTGGAGGGTCTGGAAGGGAGCAATGGCCGGACAAAGGGAGAAGGAGTGCGGAGTGGCGCGCAGGCGGCCGGCGACGCAAGGAGAGCACGGCAGTGCAGGCGAGGGAGGGAGCGACGCAAAGACGCGAGGGAGACCCGAGACAAGACGGTGACTAGTCATGCTGCGGAGGCGGGGGATCAACGGGTGGCCAAGACGGTGGTGCCACAAGACGGTTGGGTGGGCGAGAGACCGACAGGAGCAAGATGCAGCAACCTGACCAGATGCAGCAACTTGACTAAACACAGCAACCGGAGGGGACGCAGTAACCTGACCGGACTCTGCTACCTGACAGGACGCAGTAACCTGGCCGGACTCTGCTACCCGGTGGGACGCAGTGTGCAGAACAAAGAGTCCTGAGTGGGGCTCCCTGGTAAACGTGGCAAGAAGTGCCCGGTGGAAGCGTCCGTACAGATCACCGTCCTCCCGTGTGCAGGAAAAATGACTGTGACCCTACGGCCCTGAAGGTATCCAGCACTCACTAAGTTCCGAGAGAACAAGGGGATGTAGAGACCAGTGAGGAAACCAGAAGGGACAGCCGGGCACGGGAGAGTGGTCGAGCTACGAGAGACTGCTGGTTCTGAAGTAGGATCA